CTGCAAATAGTGATAGTTTGACTTCTTCTTTCCCTATCTGGATTCCTTGTATGTCTTTCTCTTGTCTTATTGCTCTGGCTAGGACCTCCAGTGTAATATTGAAGAACAGTGGTGAGAGAGGACATCCTTTTCTTGTTCCTGATCTTAAAGGAAAGGCCTTCAGCTTTTCGTCTTGGTTTTTCATTGGCTTTCAGCATGCTGTTGGGGTTCCTGCTCAGCGGAACTGGTAGGACACATTCACTATTTTATCTTCCTCTCTGTTTTTTAAAAAGATTTATTTGTTTATGCATAGAAGAACTGGGGTACAGGCCAGAGGAGTGGGGGGTGAGTGGATTCACCAGAGACAGAGTGGGGAGCAGAACAGGCAGACTAACTGAAATACACTGCTGAGGGGAGCAGCGGGCAAGACAGGAGAGGTCTGCTTCGCTTTGTGGGATTCTCACCAGCCGGCCAGGATTGAACTCGCGCTGCAGTGGCTGCGAACAGCTTCATAGGTTTCGCCTTAACCCCTCGTGCCACCAGGGAGGCCATATCTCCCTCTCTTTCTCCCTGAGTTATTTGTTTCTTCATTTCCCCTTTTTGTAAATAAACCTTTTATTAACCTTTTTTGTGTGTGCCTGCAGTTGAGTCTCATTATTAAGTCCCTTTTAAGTGTGTGCTGAGGACCCACAGTCATTTCACATTGGAGTTGCCTTGTCATGACCATAGAGCCCTGCCTCAGAACCAGAAATTTTCTTGGGGAAGGGTGACAACATCAGACAACAGCAACATAACTTTACTTGGATATGTCCCAGAGAGAGTGAGACAGCTGTGACACCCAGACTTTTCTTTTTTGGTAACTGAGGGGTTTATGTCCATATAGGGAACCTTAGAACCTGGTAACACACTAAAGTGAGGAAGCACACAACCAGGTGTGGTGAAAGGAGAGGCCGCCTCTGGACAAGGATAGGATTCCCGAAAGTAGAGATCCATGGCCCAGAGCTGGGGGAGCAGTTGCCAGTGACTGGAATCAACTAATGATCCTGGCCAGAGGGTGAAACACCTCATACTCCTGACATGAGGAGTGCCTGAGTTCCTTGGGCAGTCCTGACAACTACCAGCATAGTGCTTGTACAAGATGGTGACTGTAAACTTCCCTCTCCATCAGGCCTCTATGTTATGCAAAACACCTGTCCCATTCCTGCCTGGGGCCCCTGCTGGAATCACCTGCTATGCTTACTGCTTCTAGTCAGTCAAAAGCACTCAAGGGCCCCTAAGGGCAATGAGAGCTTGCACACTCTGGGAAAGCTCTGCCTTGGGAAGTGGCTGGGAACAGATCCCAGTAATAGCTCCCGCCCTCCTGGATAGCAGCTCCCTCCTCAGGGCACAAGAGAGAACTGAGAGAGGTCTATAAGGGAAGCAGTCTTTTTTGTTGTTGTTTTAATTTTTTATTTTTTTATTATTTATTTAAAGATTAACAAAGGTTTATTTACAAGGGAAGGGGAATGAGGAAATGTATAACTTAGGGAGAAATGAGGGAGATAAATTCTTAAATGCGTCCTACCTGTTCTGCCGTCCTGGAATCCCAGATGACCCCCACCCCGAGACCAAAACTGCCTGGCCGAGAGCATGAGCCAAGTGCCCGAGACCCCACTAACACGGCTGGTTTTTATTTACAAACTGAAAAAATCGCTGCTTAAATTCACCCTTAGGTCCTTGCAATTTCCCTTTGGGGATCATGGGATTTGTAGTTCCGGGTGGCTTGATGGAGTGGGGGTGGCATCCACAAAGTCTGTATGAAGCAGTCTTTCATAGATGGTGCCCACAGTCTCTGAAACACCTACCCCTCATTCACCTGTATCTGCTACTAGAACTTCAGCCTATGTGAAGTCAGAACCCAGGTCACTGCTCCTGCCTGCACCCCTGGGAAAATACTGGTTGCCAGCCAGAGCTGGACCGCAACTGAGGCACCAATGTTAGCCTGGAGCTGTGGGGAAGCCCTGAGTGGAGCACTGACTTAAGGGGAGAGGGGCCTGTCTGATCTCCCATTCAGCTTTCAGCCCCTGCGCCCCCTAGGGAGGCTTCAACTTCGTACTCCCTCCCAGCAACCTCTGCTTCCCCTGCCGGGGCTCCTACCCTTACTGATGCCAGAGGCCAGTCATCCAAGTAGGAGCAGCGGTGTCAGTCTATAAAGCACTGACCCCCCATGATGCTGGGCAAACAACCTTGGGTTGTATTCTGCAACCTGTGGTTTTATTTATTTGTTTTCTTATTGCGGCAACATTGGCCTACACTGTTGATGGTATTTTCGAGATACAGGATCCCCCTTCCCCCTGGTATTGCCACCTCAGTGCATCTGGAACACAGGATGTTTCACAAGCCTGCACAAATGAAGCTGGAAGCTGGAACGTCAAAAAATGAAGTGAGTCAGTAAGGAAGGACAGAAGTTCAGAGTGGTGTAAAGAAGTTAAGCGTTTATTTATTTATTTATTTATTTATTTATTTTTATTTTAAGATTTATTTATTTATGCATACAAGAGCTGGGGCACAGGCCAGAGATGGGGGGAGGAGAGGATCCACCAGAGACAGAGTGGGGAACAGAACAGGCAGACTGACTGAAATACACTGCTGAGGGGAGCAGCAGGTGAGACAGGAGAGGTCTGCTGCCCCATGTGGGTCTCTCCCTGGCCAGCCAAGGATCGAACTCGCGCTACAGTGGCCATGGATTGTTTCATAGTGAGGAGCTTTCGAGTGAGATACCCATGAAGGAGTTTCTTAGGCTACTTTATACATTCTTTTTAGATGGGCTTCTGGCTTCCTGCTGAGTCAGGCACTGCTGAAGTCTCTTGCTTCATTTCCAGCTGCTGTTTTTTCTCCTTATTATCTTTCTCCTTGGTCAGCAGATGTTTTCCTCTGAGAGAATTTGGTCAGTGCAGATCTACTGGGCACTTATCTTCCTCTCTGTCTCAAATCTACCAGGTGTAAATCAATCTTACTGGGAACTTACCTTACTGCCTGTCTCACATCTGCCACCAAATCCCCCAGAGTCTGCCGCCAGAGTCCACTGCGCAAACTTCTCTTTGTTCTCAGCCCTCCCCTGCCTACTTTTCCGGACACTTCATTTCTATAGTCAGCTTTTTAGGGTTAGTTGTTAAACTACTTTATCTGACCCTCAGTTTGATTTCTCTACATTCCACAATAAGTGACATCATCCGGTATTGATCTTCTCCTTCTGACTTATCTCACTGAGCATAATCCATTTCAGCCCTATCCATGTTGCCTAAAATGGCATGGGTTTATCTGTTTTGATCACTGAGTAGTATTCCATGGTGCATAAATACCACATCTTGATCTACTCACCTGTTTGGGGGCACTTATGCAACCTGTAATTTAAAAAAAAATTAGTTAATTAATTTGTATTGATGTAACATTGCATTAACATTATATGTATTAGTTTCAAGTATGCGTCACTGAGAATCAACATGTGCAGATACTAAGTTCATCCACTAAATATCCACTTCTCGCCTCCATACTGTTGTCCCTTTTCCCAATTTACTCTCCCCACTTCTTCCTTTCCTTGTGCTAATCACCGATTGGTTTCATTGGTTAATCTGGTTTTCCTATGAACCACAGTGTTTACCTTCTCTGTCTGGCTAACTGCACTTAGCAGAATACACCCTCTACCTGCCAAACCAGGGCCATGGGGATATTACCAAACCCTAAATTGTCGGTATCCTTTGCCACATTTTGAGACCCAGGAATAGCCAAGATAGACTGAATCGGTTTCCATCCTCTTCATATAAGAACTTGGGATAGGAATTCCTTCCTATCTATTTTTGGGTATTTGGGTTGTTTCCATAGCTTAGCTATTGTGAATAGTGCTGCAAGTGTCCTTTTGAATTAATGTTTTTGTGTCCTTTGGGTAGATACCTAGGAGTGGAATTGCTGGATCATATGTAAACTCCATTTTTAGCAGATTGAGGAGCCTCCACAGAGATCTCCATAGTGGTTGGACCAGTTTGCACTCCCACCAGCAGTGCAGGAGAGTTCCTTTTTCTCCACAACCTCGCCAACATTTGTTGTTGCTTGTTTTTTTAATATGTGCCATTCTCACTGGTGTGAGATGGTATCTCATGGTAGTTTTGATTTGTAGTTCCCTGATTACAAGTGATGTTGAACATTTTTTCATATGCCTGTTGGCCATTTGCATTTCTTCTTTGGAGAAGTTTCTTGTTAGCTCTTCTGCCCATTTTTGATTGGGTTATTTACTTTGTTTTTGTTGAGTCTTGTCAGCCAGCTCTTTGTAGATTTTTGTGTAGATCATTTTGTATTTTGATTTTGGGTATCCAGTCAGCTTCGAGGACATCTCTGGTTAGTTCTTGAGAAGTTCTCCGCTACCGTTTCTTTAAATAGGGTCTCTACCTCCCTCTCTCTCTCTCTTCACCTTTTGAAATATCACGACCCTTGTTTCATTCTCTAATGAAGTGTGATATTTTACCCACAGTTTTTCCTATAGGTTTTTACCTAAAGGTTTTCCCAAACAGAACTTAATGGAGTTTACCACCATTAGACATGCCTACAAGAAATGTTGGAAGGAGTTTTACGGGAAATGAAAAAGAAACAAAAAACCTTGAGCAAAGTGAAAATACTTGAAATTAATAGTATGAACAAGAATATTACAAATCAACAACAAATAATGATAGGTCAGAACCTGTACAGTTAAATGACAAGTCAATACACCAGCTCATAAGAGACTTTTAGAGACATAGTATGTTTGTTATAACCCTCATGGCAATCTAAGCAAAAATCTAGAATTGAGGTACATTAAAGAAGAAATGAGAAAACCACCAGGTAATGATAGCAACATGAACAAGCAGTAAGAAACAAATGGAAAAAGAAACAACAGAAAGATAAAGCAATCAGAGGGAGAGATAGAGAGAAACAGAGAGAAAGAAATTAAGTGTCATATATCCATAATCACACTGTAGGAAACAGTAATTCAGGCTCTTTTTCACCTTCAGGACATCCAGCAAACAGCAGACATCCAAAACCTTAAAAGTGCCTGGCGTGCATTACAATGTACCAGTTGTGTTTTCCACCTTCCTAAGGCCTTCCTGACATCCAGCAAACATGACCCATAACTTTGAAAACACCTAGGATGTGCAAGACTGTATCGGTTATGTGCCCCTGAGTACTAACAGTGTAAAGGGGGCTAGAAGACTGGGTTGCTGCCTGCCTGCTTGCCTGCCTCCCTGCCAGCTGCTCTGCCTGTGTATCAGGTCCCCTACTTCAGCATTAAATCATGTCAGATATACCTGTGACTCCAAGATTTGGTTTCCATTTGCCTGAATCAACAGTGCGCCTGCCTGACCTGGGGCGGTTATATAACACACACTAAATGTGAATGAGCTGAACTCACCAATTAAAAGTCATAGAATAACAAATGGGGTTAAAAACTTTCAACCACCTATATTTAGCTTACAAAAAAACTCATTTAAAGTTTAAAGCCAAAGGCACACACCTAAGTGAAAGAATGGAGTAGGGTACTTCAAGCCAATAGGAGAGAAAAGCAGAAAATGTTATTGTCCTATCTGATAAACTAGAATCTCAGCCAAAAAAAAAAAAAAAAAAAAAAAAGGTCATCAGGGACAAATATGGGCACTTACATAACGATCAAGGGAACAATTCATCAAGAAGATAAGACTGTCATTATTATTTATCCATCTAACACCAGGGCACTTAGTCATATAAAGCAACTATTAACAGACCTAAAACAACATACTGACAAAAATACAATAATTGTTGGAAAAGTCAACACACCATTTATAAAAAATATATCTCTGAAACAAGGTTTATAAGGAAATAAAGTGTAGGGGAAGGATGGGCACCGAGCAGGTTTTCTATGATTCAAGCAGACCGGGTAAAGGAAGTGTTCTGGAGCCCTCGGTGGCTTTCTCAGGGTTTTATTGAGCTGTTACATGTAGAGCAGCAACCAGGTACATGGTAGGCAGGGGTTCCGGGGGGCCAGAGGCCAGTAGGCCTCCAGGACCCGGGCAAGTCTTCACTCTGGGCTTCTCTGGTTGTTTTCTCCCCTTCTCTCCCTTGCTTCTCTCTCCTGCTTGTCTCCTGCTCCTGCTTCTGTTGGTGACTATCTCAATACTCCTGCCATGGCCCACAGAACTGAATAAGACAGCTTGCAACACTGTAACAACTGCAGGTGTGCCCCATCAGACAGGGCAATCCTAGTGGTGGGAGGGCAGAAGAGCCTGAAAACATTTACTCTACATAAAGGCTTTAAATGAGGGTCCTCCCCAGTGGTACAAGGGGTTAAGCACAGCACTGTGAAGCTATCCACAGCCTCTGCAACACAAGTTCAATCCCTGACTGGCCAGGGAGCTACCCACACGGCGCAGCAGACCACTGCTGCCTTGCCCACTGCTCCCCTCAGCAGTGTATTTCAGTCAATCTGCCTGTTCTGTTCCCTGCTCTGTCTCTGGTAAATCTTCTTACCCCCTGCACCTCTGGCCTGTGCCCCAGTTCTTGTATGCATAAATAAATAAATCTTTAAAAAAAAACTCCTAGAAGGAATAATGAATAATGCGAAGTGTCAGGATACAAAATCAACACACAGTTGCATTTTTTTTAAATTTTTTTAAAGATTTATTTTATTTATTTATACAAGCACTGGGTACAGTCAGAAGTGCAGGAGGGTGAGAGAATTCACCAGAGCCAGAGTGGGGAGCAGAACAGGCAGAAGGACCAAAGTACACTGCTGAGGGGAGCAGCGGGCGGCAGGAGAGGTCTGCGCGCCATGTGGGACCCTCGCCGGTGGCCGGGGATCGAACCGGCGCTGCAGAGGCTGCTGGCAGCTTCGCAGCCCAGTGCTCAACCGCTGCGCCACCAGGGGAGGTAATCAGTTGCATGTATATGAAAACAATGAGTTTGAATAAAGGGTAATTTAAAAAACAATTCCATTTACAATTGCACAAAAGAAAAATGAAATACCTCAACATAAACTTAGGACTACTCTCCACCAAACTAGAAAGGTTTTATACTTCAAAAGAAACTATATCCAAAATGAAAAGGCAACCTACAGACTGGGAAGAGATATTTGCATAACACGTGTTCTGACAAGTGGGTACTATCCAAAATATATAAAGTACTTACATAATCCAACAACAACAGAAACAATAAAAAAATGGGCAAAAACTAAACAGGTATTTCTCCAAAGAAGACATGCAGTTAACCTACAGGCATGTGAAAAATTGTTCATATCATTTATTATAAAGGAAACGCAAATCAAAATCACAAGATAGCATCTTATCCCTGTGAGAATGTCTTATACTAAAATGAGAGGAAACAACTAATCTGTTGAGGAGGTGGGAGAAAAGGAACACTTATCCACTGTTGTGGGAATGCAATTTGGTGCAGCCTTTATGGAAAATGGTATGGAGATATCTTAAAATATAAAAATGGAAATTCCACATGATCTAGAAATACCACTGCTAGGTAATTTACCCAAAGAATATGAAAACACTAATACAAAAAGGTGAATGCAGTCCTATGGTCATAGCAGCACTATCCACTAAGTCATGAAAACAACTTAATTGCCCAACTTAATTGACAACTTTATTTACCGTAGTTTTCTAACAGACAACTGGATGAGGAAACCGTGGGATATATACTCAATAGGATACTACTCAGCTATGAAAAAAAAGAATGAAAAAAGCTTTTTGGGACAAAATGGGTGGATCGTGAGGTCATTTGCTAAGTGTAATATCAGAAAGTGAAAGATAGATACCAGATGTTTCATTTATCTGTGGAATATAAATAACCAAAAAAAAAAAAAAAAAGCCACATACTGGCAAAGCACAGCAAAACAATTCTTAGACTCTGGGGGGAAAAATACAGGTTACCAGCGGCAACTGGGGGAGGCGTGAGGAGATAAGGGAAGGAAGGGCACAGAATATTGGCATGGGAGTTTTGGTGGAGGATGAGTGAAGTGTGTGTACATATGGAGGTATATAAATGTAACCCCAAAGTTATGATATATAAACAACTGAATTTATAAAGGTTATACAAGTGACAAATAATCACAAATAAATTCAACATCACATGTTATTAAGAAATTGAAAATTAAAACAACAGTGAGCTATCACTATATACTTCTTAGAATGACCAAAAAAAAAAAAAAATCATGACCACATAGATGTCAATGAACTTCTCCATTTTATCATGTAGGGGATACAATACCAGATCTTATGCTTAAGTCTTAAATCCATTTGAGCTAAATTTTGTGTGTGGTGTAAAATAGAGGTCCAGTTTCACTCTACTGCATGTGGTTATCCAATCTTTCCACTATTTGTTAAAGATTTTCCTTTCCCTTTGAGTGTTTTTGGCACCTTTGTCAAAATTAGTTGAATAGCAATGGTAGGTAGTGGTGGTGGTGGTGGGGGGGGGCTTTCTATTGTGCTCCGTTGCTCTATGTCTATTTTAACACTAGTGTGGTACTGCTTTATTTACCATAGTTTTCTAATATATTTTGAACCTAAGAATTTTGATGTCTCTGGATTTGTTCTTTCTCAGGATTGCTTTTGCCAACAGGGTTTTTTGGGATCCATACACATTTTAGGACTTTTTTTCTATTTTTGTGAACCTGAGAATAATCTCTATAATCATTATTAGTTGGCTCAGATTTTCTATTTCCTTTTCATTAAGTTTTGGTGGGTTATTTCTAGGAATTTATCCTTTTTCCTAGAGTCTGTTTTCTGGGATGGAACTGTTCACAGTAGTCTCTTACGATCCTATATTTCTGTGTATTGGTTTAATGTCTCTTTCATCTCACATAAAATATTTTAGTTTTGTTTTTTCTTAGTCTAGTTAACATTTTTCAATTTTTAAAATCAGTGTTTAGTTCCTTTTCTGTAGTTTATCCGGTCTCTTTCATTTATTCCACTCTGATCTTTCTTATTCCCATCCCTCTGCTATGTTTGGGTTTAGTTTGTTCCTAGTTTCCTGAGGTGTAAAATTAGGTTGCTAATTTATGAAATTTCTATTTCCTTAATACTGGCATTTATCACTAAAAATTCCCCCTCAGAACAGCTTTTACAGTGCCACATAGGTTTTGGAGTGTTGTACTTCCTTTTTTCCCTTTTTATTTCTTTTTCACCCATTGCTTTTCAGGAATTTGTTTAGTTTTCACACATGTATAAACTTTCTGGCTTCCTCTTGTTTTTATTTCTATTTTCATACTAGTGTGATTGAGTTTTAAATTTGCTAAGATTTGTGCCTTGTATAATTATCCTATTGAATGTTACATGCATACTTGGGAAAAAATGTGTATTCTAATGCTGATTGATGTAATGTTCTATAAATGGTTCTATAAATTGGTTCAAAGCCAATGTTCTTTTTTGATTTTCTGTCTTGATAATATATCATTGCTGAAAGTGGGATATTAAAATTACCCACTATTATTGTATTGTCTGTTTCTCCCTTCAGATCTGTCAATTTTTGCTTAATACATGTATGTGCTTTGTGTTTGAGGTGTATGTATTATAGCTTTATATTTATAAGTTATACTAGCTATAGCTTCTTGATATATTGATCATTGTGTAATGATCCTTTTTTGTCTTTTCTGCTTTTTTTTTTTTTTTTTTTTTTTGCTGTTTTTGGATTAAAGTCTATTTTCTGATACAGAGCACACATTCTTTTTTTTTTTCTTCTGATTTCCACTTGCATGGAACAGTTTTCCATCTCTTCACTTTGAGCCTCTTATGTCCTCATATTTGAAATTAGTCTTTTTAGGCAACATAGTTAGGTCTTGTGTTTGTTTTTTTTTTAACTTTTATTTTCTATATTGTTTACATTTTTCTTTTTGCACAATGTGTGCATTTTCATCTTGGTCATAGTCCCCATACAATTCCCATCCCCCTTATTATGATCCTAATCCCCCTAGCCCCATCCCCGCCCAGTGTGTCTCTGGTTTATAGTTGCTTGTTGATTTTGATTTTTACTTTGTATTAATTAGTCTTCTTCTTGGTCCCTTATTTCAGGTTTCTAAATTCCTGCTATGAGTGAGACCATCTGGTATTTTTCTTTTTCTTTCTGGCTTATTTCGCTGAGCATAATCCCTTCCAGCTCCATCCATGTTGCTGCAAATTGCATGTGTTTATCTTTTTTGATTGCTGAATAATATTCCATGGTGTATATGTGCCACATCTTCTTGATCCAATCATCTATTTTTGGGCATTTGGGTTGTTTCCAAAGCTTAGCTATTGTAAATAGTGCTGCAATAAACATAGGGGTGCAGGTACA